GCAGCCCTTGACGGAGGCCCTCATCGATGGCAGGAACACCGCCGAAAAAGCGATTCAACAGCTCCTCGCTCGAATCGCCGGCAGTCCGCAGCCCACGGTGCCAGTCGAGCTGACCAACACCTACTACCGGGGGCGCCAGGAGGATCTGGTCGAGTTCCTTGTCAAGCTGCTCGAGGAATGCCCCACATGTGATGAGGTCTTGTGTGGCACGGAACAACCGACACTGCAGTGTCAGCACTGCACCTACGGTCGCCCACTGCGCGCGGAAAACTTCCATCACATGCAACTGCCAATGATGTCGTCGGTTCAGGCGGCCTTGGATGGTTATCTCGAGCGCAGCACAATTATGACCGACTTTAAAGAGTGGTTTTGTCTCTCGTCGGCATGCCTGACTGCCGGTATCGCCGAGGACTATCCGCTGCACAGGTCTCACATGGCAAATTGGCCCCGTGTCCTCATGCTGAGCCTTAAGCGTTGGAGTGGACCAGATGAAGTCATCGGCGACCGGATCTTCTGCAACAGAACGTTGAAGGCAGCCGACCGCGTGTACGACCTCTGTTCCCTTGCGACGCACATCGGCGATCGCCCCGAGAGTGGTCACTACATAGCATATCGACGTCAAGGCCCCTGCATGATGAAGATCGACGACCACCATGTCTCCAGGCTGGCCCCGCGCTACGAGGATTACATTGTCAGTCAGCCGTCAGAAAAAATCTACGTACTCTTCTATGTCATGAGAGAGACAGCAGAACAGGATGCCACCCAGGTCAGGCCCGCCAAGTTTCAGAAGCTCTCGGCCGCGACGATCATCGACCTGGAGGACAACAGCGACGACAACAAGCAGACCACGGCATCAACCAGCGACTCGACCAAGAAAAACGACACCGGCAAAACAAAGCAGACCACGTGTTCACCCGAGACGAAGAATATGAATATATTGGACGACAGTGACTCAGACGTCATACCGGAAGACACTTCCATGGAGAACGTCCAGGAAACACACCCCGCGGCGCCGGGGAACTCCGCAGATCCAGAGGACGACCTTGAGGCCTTGCTTGAACGGGAGCTGGAGATCTTTTATCGAGAACAGAATACCCAAGCGGAGCAGGACAACAGCAACGGACAAGCAAAAGACAGTCAGATGTCACAGGTCTCAAAGACGCGACAACAGGAAGCTCTTCGCCGCTTTTGCGAAGAGGATCGCCTTAGGGTTGTGCAGCTGATCAAGAAATCTTCCACAGTTAAAGAAGCAGTGAAGTTTCTGAAAGACAAATTTGTGGAGTTCAGTGCCACAAATGTATCAGCCAAGCATTACATTCAGTACTCGACCCTGCGGCGATGGATCGCCGATCCTGCTCTTCTCGATAGAGCTGTCCTTCGTGCATCCAGGACATCCTCAGGGAATACCAGAGTCGCGCCCACTTCGAGTGCAAGATCGAACCTTGCCGAAGAACATCGAGCGACAATCGCAGAGAGCCTGCATGCAGCTACGTCGTGGCAGCAGTTCCTCGAAATGCTGAAACAAGGTCTGCCCGACTTCAGCGACAGCAATGCCCATGCCACGAACTATATTCCGCGAACCACTTTGCGGCGATGGTTTAGCACTTCCGGCATTACAGAATGGTTCCCTGCGACACACGAGTCCGACTTCGACAACTTCTTTGCCGTTGCCTTTGCAGTGCCTGCGCAACGTTGTCAGAATACGGCAACCGACAGCTTCGAAGATCAGTGGTTGCTCAAGAGCTCCTGGCAATTCTGTCCCAATTGCGGGCGTAAACGCGCTCGTACAGACGTGGACCCGACGCAACTGCGAAAGGCGCATGCCTGCAAGCCGTGTTGCGACACCGATGCTGTGGAGCTCTTGCACCCTCCTGGCGCAGATGCCGTTCACAAGAAGAAGGCCAAGTTGTGCTGCTACGTCACCCCACTCGCCGAACACTGGGAATCACTAGTTTTGGAACTTCAAGCTACAGGACTGCCACTCACGGCGGCAATGACAATGAAGGAATTGTCGGGCCTGGCGGTCCTGGACATCCATGTCGATTACCGAAGTCGGCGAGGCGGACATGCTGACATAACCAGCAAACAGAAACGAACCGTCGTCCGATGCAGATGGAAGGCAACGCCGCTGCGCAGCATGCAGCGGTCCTTCGCGGCCAGTCGCATGTTTGACTGGCTCATGCGAAATAACGAGACATACGCCGCCTGGGTAGATCGTCATGCTCGCCTAGTACAAGAACATGAGCAGGGAGACGCCTGGCGCGAGTTGAGGACTGCCGAACTACTGTTGTCTTCTCCAGGTGTCGAAGTTGCTACGCGGCCGTGGCTGTATCCTTTGGCATCCTACGCTGACACGGACCTGCAGCTTCGCCTGAAGAAGCTGGGCTGGCTGGCCGACAACAGCACGCCATCCATTCGGGCCGGTTTCATACGAAAGCTCTTGAGCCGCTGCCTTGACTACTCCCGCGACTTTCCCTTGCATTGCCTGCTCTATGACACATGCCTAGCGAAATCTATTACCTCGATCATCAACGTGGCCAATCAGAAGAACATCGCTCCAGAGCATGCCGCCCACGAGCAGGATACCTTCGAAGGCTATTGGCTGCTGCAGATACGCAAGCTGGAAGACATCTGCAGAAGAGAATACGAATCCAGCAAAGAGATGAATCGGGCCTTGCCAAA